CCCTGATGATGGAGGCAGTATGACCTCTGAAACGTTGGTAAACATCGACCAGACTACACAGCGCAACAACCCAGAAGACAGAAATCTTCATACTCTGATGACGGAGGCAGTATGCACATGCATGAGCACACAGACAGACACACGTACATATTTTCACAGAAGAGTCAAAGTAAACAGACTGGGAGAAAAAGCATTTTCTTAAGCTGACCTCAAAAAAACCACGTAACTGTGACGGATGCTGCAGTTAATGACACCTCATGGTCTTAATCAGTGAATAGCCTAAGTGACATCACGGCTATGTAAGACTTTCTCACGTAATAATTTGCTGGGCGTCGCAAATTGGGTTTTTAAGGATGTAAATTTGCACCTAACGTGAGAATGAACAACTCTGTCGAGACAGTGGCTTACCTTCGCTGTTTCCGCGTGGAAGACTTGCTCTGCAGAAAACAACGTCTGGAGATTGGTCACTAGAAAAAGCACCCTTGAGTCATGCAGCGCAGGCAGTTCATCGTGTAGTTCCGAGTTCAACAGTTCGTACGTCCTCTTAGCTTCTTCCAGAGTTTCTCTTGCTTTTGACACCCTAATTTCATCACGTTTCTTCGGATTACCTTGCAGCGACTGGAAATTGTGACGTTGGCTGTCATAGTCCACTAATTTGCGACCGCGCTTGTCAATTTTTTTCTGCAATCGAATGAGAAAAACCTCATGAAGATCATGATAATGATTTTATGATAATTTTTTGAAAAAATGAGCCCTTTTTCATGTTGTATTTTTATTAATCAATTGCATCACAGCCAAATTTGCATTATGAGAACACGTGTTATAGGAGAAATTACAGGAACGGTACAGCTCTGAAATAATACAAAGTTTCTACGTACATGCGGTCTGAATGCTGCCAGGTGACATATTTATTTATTAAATCTAACTTATTCATATGAGAAATTTAGAGTAAATTGTAAATCAAATTTACATAATTGCAATTTTATTAATACAATGCACAAATTATGCGGCTCTCTCTTCGTCCCGTCACCGACTCTTTCTTAGGTCTGAGAATTCATGTCAGAACTTCGTCCTTGGACGTCGTCAATATATATATTTCTTTTTCCTTTCGGTGAATCCGTTCCGCAATACTACGTACCCTCATTTCAGGGAACTGACTCTGGTATGTGTTGAGCGGGATGAGAACCTGGTCACCAAGCTTATGACTGAAGTCCTGCCAAAGCATCTCGATATTCTGCGCTTGTACGTACAGGAGATCGTGGCCAACCCAGTTACTCTCGTAGATTTCATTCAGGGAGTCCATTAGCGTCTTGCTCGCAGCTTGTACCGCTACACAAATAAGACAATCAAATTACGTGGAAGCATCAACACAGACATCTTGCGGTATACCAACTTCTTTCTTAGATTTTGGATAAATTTTGTAATTAAATGTGGGTTTTTTAATTTTTTATTTAAAAATGTTAAAAGGCCAATTATGATGGCCATATTCTATTGATACTATATTACAAAGTTGGACCATATGGAAAATCTTTAAAAAACCTTCTTCTGCATGTCATGATACTTATATTTTGTTACGAACAGTACAAGATAATTGACGAGGCATTACAGATCAGCAGATGAGAAGTAGTAGTTAAATGTGTGTTTCCACAAACAATTAAAATAAAGTATTAAAGATTTTCTCTGTATATCAAATCTAAAACTTCTTGACGATGGTGAAGAGTCAATTGAATAAAACTTTACTTGGATATCATCCATCGTCTAGTAAAATATAAAACGTAAAACGATGTTTCGGAGATGGGGCTCTATCTCCGTCTTCAGGTTCCTACACAGTTGGGGATTAGCTCTATCTAGTGGGCCCAACTGTGTAGGAACCTGAAGACGGGGATAGAGTCCCATCTCCGAAACGTCGTTTTACGTTTTATATTTACTAGACGATGGATAATATCCAAGTAAATTTTTATTCAATCGTAGCTGAAATGTTGTGCTGTAATAAATTTTGAAGAAAAATGTGTAGCTTGCGAGACGACAACATGGCTTCCACAGAAGATGCTTGAAATCCGGTCAGGAAAAGCTAGCAATGGCTGGGGGTTCGTCGTGATGATGACACATCACCCTAGATCTGGTTGGATGATCGTTCACCTCTGCTTAGGCATGTGAACGTGAGGCTTTGGCTCTCAGAGGGCTGTTACGCCACGGATTTAATTTTATAATTAAAGATTTTCTGGTATCAGCACAAACAGTGCAGAAGATTATTCATAAGAATAGTTTTACGATGAACGTCATGTCCTGAGAGACATTGCAAACGGAATAGAAACTTTATTAGTACTGACTTAATAATTTTAGGTACAAATTAATTAATTAATTGGGCTGGATTGTATTAAATCTGTTGAACAGACTTTCAGACTAAAAATATGGATTTACAAGGATTTTCTTAATCATTGATACTGATAGAGCAACTATATGGACACTGGACCTATCTTTATTGTTATTGTTGTTATTATAATTTATTCTTCATTGATCATCACTGACCACCGCCAGCATCGCAGCAACATTTATTAAAGCGCATTACAGCCAAGTGATCAAAAATGGAAAATTTAACTTTATACAGATGTGAAATGAAAGCCCACAAGACTTGGGAGGTATCTAGCATAATTTTTCATTGTTCTTCTCTCTTTTGAAATTAGTGTCAAAATAAACTTTCAGTGGTTTCCATGATATATGAAAATTAAAATCTCCCACTTTGCCCCTCAAAACAATTCCATCATAAGCCACAGGAAGGTCAGCCACAGGAAGGTGGGTAATGGATTCTTACAGAATTTTTAGTAGTAATCCATTTGGGGGTCGCCCTTCATGGACTAGTGATTAGCGTGCTTGCCAATGGATCCATAGTTCGTGGGTTCAAACCCAGCCGAGGTCGATGGATTTTAAGGGTGATAAGAATCCGAAACACAACTTCCTTCGGAGGGGAAGTAAAGCTGACGGTCCCATGTCGTAGATTTACAACGTGTGAAAGAATCTTACGAGCATGAACGAGATGTTTCGTAAGCAAAATTCAGCAGCCATTTCTCACCCAAATCTCTACTAGATGGCTCTAGTAGACAAATCAGGATTGAGTAGAAATTGTGCAGAGGCAGTGGGCTCGTCACTTGCTACTCAAATGCACACTTCAAAGACAAAGAAAGCTCCCACATGGGAGGAAGCCGAGGCTCGGCTTCGAGCTTTTGTCCCATTGAGTCAGTCAATCCAAGACATAAAATTAGTTTACATTTAAAAATTTCATTGGTCTAAGAATTTAAATGAATATGTGGTAATGGATTTTCATATCTGAAACTAACTAGCCAGAGACGTTTTTGTACTTAATGTTATTTAAGTAACTTGAATTTAATCTTATTTTTACGGTACTGCAGAGAAACTGCATTTTTTTAAACTGAAATTTCAAGTTTTTTAAAAACTTCAAATTACAAGGTCATTACCTCGTATGCATCTGATGTAGTTGTTGAATTCCTTCTGAAGCCTGTTTGCAGCATTCTGCTGTCTTGTAAAGTTTGTGAGATGCTCGTCAAAGATATCATCAGCTGTCCGGTCTACCTTGCCAAGATTCTGTAGGATCTGTAACAAACATAAAATGTCCCAATGAGCAATACTCCAATGATGCCAACACTTCAGAGGCAAACAAGTAATATTTACGAAACACAGATTAATTACTAGTTTTAATTGACGAGACCATCAGTTACTTCCAATACCACAGATGCGGTCTAACCAAACTTTTTACTGCCAGACTGAACAAATAACACTGGAACAAACATCAGATAATGACGATAAATACGTGACGGAAATGGTTCTGCTGGTCACACAGGGGTTTGGCAAAACACGGAAAGGGAGGCGGAAAACACAGATTTAATGATGTAAAAGAAAAGCAGGAATATACAGCGAGATTCAGTTATAATTTACAGCAGAACCAGTTAACGTTTGGTCATTATAACCAATATTCGCTGTGTGTGGGGAAAAAAAAAAGGCCTTCACAAATCACATATCAACAACAAACGACTACATAATACTTAATAAAAACCTATAATGATTAAATATTTATCTAGAACATACTGATATAATTCAAAAGGAAATTAAAAAATATTTTTAAAATACATAGATGTACATAATAATTATCGCCTGGTTTATTTTAAACGTAATTTAGTATGAAAACTTATTTCTGCATTATTTGGATGCATTTGAGATTTTTTTTATTAATCTTAGGCCAGAGCCTCGCCATTTTCCAAGAAGTTAATTAACGTTTACGGCATTCAGAGCTAGTGAATATGTAACTAACGGCTCCTTGGGCATTGTTTCTTCAATGTATTCGTCACTGTTCTGAACACTCTTTTTCCTGCAATATTGAGCGTCTAACATGTTCGAAAGTTGTTTTTCTTATCTGTTCCAACCAGTCATAAAAAAACATGTTGACCTTCAGTACCGGCATTGGTATTTGCAGAAACATCCTGACAATTTGTCAGGTTTTCTGAAACGATATAAGTTCCAATAATGCTTTGTGAACGTCATCAAAACCCATATTCTCTAACATTTTTTGTTCTTAGTTGAGATTGTCCTAGAATGCAGATAAAATATGCTTTCTTATTCTTGCACAAAGTCGAAAATATAGACGACAATAAGATGATTTTTTTTTACACAGATAAAAGTTCTAGTAAAACGTTCTGACTGGCGAATGATTTCAACTTTTTAACGCACAGAAAAGAACTTTGCCTTCTTTGCAAACATGTTGATCACTGAAGCGTAAAACCTACACTACGAGTTACCAGCCAGGCTGTTTAGAGCAGTGGTATTCAACCTTTTTTGTTCGCGTACCCCCAAAGTTGTTGGTGTATAATTCAAGTTATATATAGTATATAATTACATCTAAAATAAATTAACGCAAACAGCACACTTCCCCCCCCCCCCAGAGAAACAAATTTTACTCGTTTTTAACACATTTTTGAATACAAATTTATGTAACTGAAATGTGAAGTTGTAATTTTCTCGCTACATCAGTTTTTATAATTTTTTTTTTTGTATTTACAGAGTCAAAACACAATCACAAGTTTTTTAAAAACAAATATCTAAACCTAATACTAATTTCCCCCTTCTAGTCTTCTGGTCTGTCACGTCCTGTGGAATTGTACGTAGAGATCAAAATTTTACAGGACCCTACTGGCTTCATATTCAACCAACCCTAGTCAGGCGTTGCATCAAAAATTTTGTATGCATTTCATATATCCCACATGCATGCTACATGTAATGCCAATCTCATCATATTAAATATGACAATCCCAATAGTATTTTTTGAAGAGTGCAAATTATGGAGCTCCTCAGCGTAAAACTTTCTACAACCTCCTGTCACCTCAACCCTCTTTGGTATAAATATTATCCACAATCTGTGATTTCTGTTTTATGGAAGGTACGAAGCATTTTGTAAGAATATATTGGCGAGTTGATGATTAGGAGCGTTCGCCCTTTGTTCTCCATCCATCACACCCACAAGGAGAATAATCTCAGTACGATATCTGAATCCTGATGGCAGAATTCTGTTACATCCGAAAGCAAAGTCTTTGTTTGGTATATTTTTCGAATACGTACAGAGAGGCCAAGTCACCACAAGCGAGTGTAGGCCACGAGTGATGATGCCCTTATTAGTACAGGCAAGTGCCGAGAGTGGCGCGTGGGGTGCTGGAAGCAAGATGGCGCGCCTCCTGGTCCTATAGCAACAGAAGCAGTGACCTTTACGCGTCACGTAGGCTGCTGCAGGTAGAGTGCGTGTGTGTCGCTGGTCCACTTCTCAGTCTCTCGTCGGAGTTGAGAACAATTTTAATCACAATACTACTTCAAGGGAGATATTTTGAAAGATGAAACTCAAAATTGATGTCGACTAAGCAAAGTATATAAACAAACTTCTCACCACCCAATATCACGATGTCCCACTCTGGCAAAGAATGAATACACAATATGACATGAAAACTTTGTATAAATCGATATTAATCGATATGCAAGAAATCGGGCATTATAAAAGAAATAAAAAACACAGTAAATCCTCTGTTAACCGACCCTCGATTATCCGACTTCCGCATTAATCGACCTAAATTCTTCAACCAGATCAGTTACAATCGATTTCTACTAGCGAGAGTCGGAAAAGCGAGATCCACGCAGAGATTGCCTGAATATTTATATGGACATAACTGCGTTACGAAACACGGATGTTACTACAATTTTCTCACGCTCGTGGCTGAACATGTAATGGAACATTGAGAAGGTTAGGTTAGGTCGAAATGTGCGTATTTATCTACTCTCTTCTGGAATACAGGCAGACGTTTATGTAAAGACTGTGGGTAGGTGCAATTTTTTCTTCAGATTTCACATTCCTCTCAGCAACCTTTCTTACTGGCACAAAAAGAATACATACAAACAACTCAGATGTAAGAGTAAAGCACGGGTCCTTATGAGCTTTTACTTCCATTTCTCTTACCCCCCATGGATATGTTTTTATTTACAAAACCGAGTGTTGCAGTCCGACTGTGTTTCGTAAGAATGTACTTAAAGAAATCTGTAGTACATTACTAGTGTGAAGAGTTCATTTAAATGTTTAAATTCCATCCAATGTAATGTATTTTTATTTTATGATTAGCGGGATAGTGCGCGGTGGAAAGAACAGCCACTGTAGCAGTTGAACGGCTTGTGCACGTGGCGATTTGGAGTGCAGTGTTGTGCCATCCAAATAAAAGTTAACAGGTGTCGGTGTTTAACGGTGATTTCTTGAAGTTTAATTTGTGTTTTTTTTAAACAAAATGGATAATTCTGTTTCTACCAAACGTAAAAGTGGGCAAGTCGCAAATATTTCAAGGTTGCGGCCATAAGCGCAAATGATTTATGAGCTGTTGTCTGCCTGTATGCCTATTCGTCAGCGACTAACAACAATGGTCTTCTCAGTCAGTGGATTTTTAAGAAATGTTCTAAGTTTTTTAGGGGGGGGGGAGACTGCAAAGCTGAAACGACAATAGCTGAAAGTCAGAATTTCCACATGAATAAACAATGCGTGAAGAAAGTATTCCTTTGTTTCTCAGAGAAGCTTACTATCAGAAGTTGGTAACACTGCGACCCCTGGCCAGTTTCGTGAACCTTCTATCATCACAACAAATTGTACTAAGATACTCTTAGGTTGTCAATGGGGACATTTTCGAAGGTTTACACACCAGATTTCTGTATTCACGTTGGTAACCTCGCGTAACCTAACCCAACACCACTAAATACAACTAAATCTGCTCCACGGCAGATGAGTAAATGCGAATTGTCGTCCGCGCATGCGCAGAACCCCTCTCGCGCATGCACGTCTCAAACCAAACCTAACCTAACCAAATTTAACTTGGCAGCTGAACGTTGCGCACTATGATTTTCACCACTTTGAAAAGTAAAAGGAATTATAGCAGGTTTGCAACTGAGTAATAATATATTTTCCTAAACGTATTCTTTTAATCTTGTCATGAAGCTTAGCGAGATTTGAGGTTATCAAACATGGCTGCTCTTCAGGACAAAACACCGTGTGATCTGGTAGGTACTGACAGACGTTTCAGAGAAGTTTACTTAGTCCATCATCAGGGTGATGAATACGCCGAAGGCCGGAGGGAATCAGGAAGGGCTAGAATTGAATGGCGTGCACCAGATACAACATAATAATACGTAACTCTTAATTTGAAAATGTTTCAGAATTTAAATATCTGGAAACAACAATAACAAATATAAATGAGGTTAATGATGAAATTAAGAGTATAATACATTCGGAGATCGTTTGTTTTTATTCAATTCAAAAACTGTTATCATCTCGTTCACTATCCAAAACACTGAAGACCATACATAAAACAATAATTTTGCCTGTTGTCTTGTATGGTTGTAAAACACGGCCTCTTACCTTGAGGGAAGAATGTAGGTTACAAGTGTTTGACAGATATTTGGACCTAGGAGTGGTGAAATAATTGGTGAAATTTAGAATATTAACATAACGAGGAGCTGCGTGAATTGAACGGGTCATCCTGGAACAGTGAGGATACTGAAATATAGGAGGCTCCGATGGGCTGGGCTTGTAGCACGCATGGGGAAGGTGAAGGTGAACCATAAATCGGGATTTCTTTTCAGGAGGCGAGTCTGGCGTTCTGCAGGCTGGAATTAAGGCAGGACGTCGGAGTAAAACTGAGAAATTGCATAGTTAGCCCCGGCGACCTCTGCGTTGCATTAACACGTGTCGACGGACCCAGTAACTATAATGCCAACCGACAGGACGGACACGACATCCCAGCCCGACCTGAATTATTCACATATTCTATTTTGGAACTGCCCTGGAGCTACCGAGACGAGGGGGGGGGGTGTTAGTGGCAAAATTCGTGTCACCGGGTGACACACGACGATGGACAATTACAGAGCAGCGTGAGTACGTTTACGAACGATAAAGATGATTTGGACCTAGGAGTTCTAGCGGTTAGAACGCTGGCCTTGTAATACTGGGGTCTCGGGTTCGATTCCCGGCGGTGCCCGAATTTATAACTTGTGTTGGGCAAGGCCGTGGTCTAGGCAACACG